TAAGGTGGGTCTTGCAGCAATGGGCAGGGTGTACAACAATGGCCACCATCTCTTTGCACCTGTGACTGGGATCAGCAATCAACAATCAAAGTGCAGATTCCCAATATTTGGAGGACAGTTTCCTTTTTCTCACCTTGGTTCTTGCAAGCTCTGTGCAAGCTGCTTCAGGGACACATGTTCAGTTATGTGCCATGGGCCTGGAGGTGGTGGATGGGTAGGTACTACCATACTAGAGCTAAAATTGACCGAAATTAATTGCATTTTACTGTCCAACACTTATATTGAAGTTGCAAGCCTTCAACAGACCCCAGAGTTTCAAAATAATAAAATAATTGCATCAAACAGATTCTGCCAATAGGTAAAATTTTGTTTAGCTGGGTGACAGATTTCCTGGTGCTTCCTACTCCTTAATCCCCTCTTTACCCTATATCTGTAATGCTCTTTTTTATCCCTGACAATTTTCTTTAATAATTTTCTTGATCCACTTTGTCTAAAATTAATATAGCTATTCCAGCTTTATTTTCATTAGAGTTAGCATGGTATATTGTTCTACATCGCTATACCTTTACTCTGTATCTTGACATTTAAAGTGCATTTTTTATACACAAAATATAGTTGGGTCTTGTTTTGTTATCCATCCTGACAGTCTGTGTGCTTTATTTTCTTTTTAATTATTTTAAGTTTAATTTTGTATTTCAATAGGTTTTTGTGGAATAGGTGGTATTTGGTTATGTGGATAAGTTCTGTAGTGGTGATTTACGAGATTTTGGTGCACCCATTACCCTTTTTAATTAGTGCAATTAGATCATTGACATTTAAAATAATTATTGATGTAGTTGGATAAGTATCTACAATATGTATTACCTTTTTCTATTTGCTGCTCTTATTCTTTGTTTCATTTTTGGTCTTCTATTCTTTGCCTTCTCTTGTTTTAACTGAGCATTTTATAGAATTCCATCTTTTCTTCTCTCTTAGTATATGAATCAATTTTTTTCTTTTTTTTCTTTTTGAGATGGAGTCTTGCTCTGTTACCCAGGCTGGAGTGCAGTGGCATGATCTCAGCTCACTGCAACCTCTGCCTCCCAGGTTCAAGCAATTCTTCTGTCTCAGCCTCCCAAGTAACTGGGACCACAGGCATGTGCCACCATGCCTGGTTAATTTTTGTATTTTTAGTAGAGACGGGGTTTCACTGTGTTAGCCAAGATGGTCTCAATCTCCTGACCTTGTTACCTGCCTGCCTCGGCCTCCCAAAGTGTTGAGATTACAGGCAGGAGCCACCACGCCAGGCCCAATTTTTCTTCTTTTTTAAGCTTTTTTCAGTGGCTGCCCTTGAGTTATTAGTACACATTTACTACATTCATCTAGTAAAGGGGATATCATCCATGTCCTCTTTCAAACAATTCTACGCCACTTCATGGCTAGTAAAAATACCTTATAACAGAATATTCCCTTTCCTCCCTCCTGTCATTCTGTCATTAACATTGCTAATACACATTTCACTTATGCATAAGCTACAATCACTGATTACATTTCACTCTTATTTTGAAAAAAACTGTTGTCTTTTAGAGATCAATTTAGAAGAAGAAAAATAAAAGATTTTATTTTATCTTCATGAGTTCCTTCTATAATGTTCTTCATTTATCTAAATCCAGGTGTCTGACCTCTATCATTTTCCTTCCTTCTGAGTAATTTTTCTTAACATTTGTTGCAAGTCAGATCTACTGCTGACAAGCTTCCTTAATTTTTGTTTGTCTGAAAAGCCTTTGTTTCTCCTTCATTTTTGAAGGGTACAGGATTCTAAGTTGGTAGTCCTTTACTTTCAACCCTTCAAATATTTTGCTTCATTCTCTCCTTGCTCGCGTAATTTTTAAAAAGAACTTGATGCAATTCTTACCTTTGCTTCTTTGTAGATAAGGTTCTACTTTCTCTCTGGTTCTTAAAATCCGTGCTGGCTTCTCAGCCTCTACACAGGGCTCTCTGCCTCACATGGAAGGCTCTCAGCACTTGGAAGCTTAAGGATCAGTACTGGCCCTTGGGAAAGCAGTGAGCAGAATATCAGACTCACCGTGGAGTTTCCCTTTTCTCTTGGATCTTGGCTCTTTAACTCTTGGGTGTCTCTCAAGCTCTTCCATGCCTTCACATGGATGTGTTTTGAATTTGTCAGGTGTTTGTCTAGAACTATTAGTTTGCTACAAGCTAGTCATCATACTTGAAATGCAAATTACAACACTGGGTGTATCGCTAAAAAGAAGTTCCCTTTTTCTTTAACTATCGTATCACTTTTTTTTAATTTTTATTTTAAGTAGTAATCACCTTGCAAAATTTTCTAATCAGCCGGGCATGGTGGCTCATGCCTGTAATCCCAGCAGTTTGGGAGGCCCAAGTGAGCAGGTCACAAGGTCAGGAGTTCGAGACCAGCCTGACCAATGTGGTGAAATCCTGTCTGTACTAAATATACAAAAATTACCCAAGTATGATGGCAGGCACCTGTAATCCTAGCTACTCAGGAGGCTGAGGCAGGAGGATCGCTTGAACCTGGGAGACAGAAGTTGTGGTGAGCCAAGATCGCGCCATTGCACTCCAGCCTGGGTGACAGAGTGAGACCCTGTCTCAAAAAAAAAAATAATAATAATAATTATAGGAGCATATAAAAAGTCAAATAAAAGTTAAAGGAAAGGCATATTTAACATTTTAATTTTCTTTTAGCCTTTTTTCCTCTGCACACATTTATATATATATATTTATTTATATATTCATTGTATGTACTGATTTGTAATTTTCTTTTTTTTGTTGTTTTTTGAGACAGAGTCTCACTCTGTTGCCCAGGCTGGAGTGCAGTGGCGTAATCTTGGCTCACCACAACCCCTGCCTCCCAGACTCAAGCGATTCTCCTGCCTCAGCCTTCTGAGTAGCTGGGACTACCGGCATGTGCCACCAAACCTAGCTAGTTTTTGTCTTTTTAGTGAAGACAAGGCTTCATCATGTTGACCAGGCTGGTCTCAAAATCCTGACCTCAAGTGATCCATCCGCCTTGGCCTCCCAAAGTGTTGAGGTTACAGGCATGAGCCACCATGCCTGGTCAGATTTTCTTTCTTTACATCAAAAATTACAAGCATTTTTTTCAGGTCATTATGTATTATATAAAGGTATAATTTTGTTAAAAAGTTGCGTAGTACTCTACTATATCTCTGTCTTCCTCAGCTATCTCTCTCATGTATACATATACGTACACACATACATATAACATAAATAAATAAATGTAATTTATTTAATAGGAATTCACGTATATACATATATGTGTGTATATGTATTTTATGTATTCATAAAATTCATATTTTATGAATTCCTATTAAATAAATCATGTTATTTATTATATATGTATGCGTGTATATATGTGTATATATCCTAGCAATAAGCTAGTGTTAAACAGTTGAGTTTTTTATCTTACTTACATTCTTTCTCTGTGTTTTTGTTTTGTTTTGTTTTGTTTTGTTTTTGAGATGGAGTCTCACTCTGTCATCCAGGCTGGAGTGCTATGATGTGATCTCAGCTCACTGCAACCTCCACTACTTAGGTTCAAGTGATTCTCCTGCCTCAGCCTCCCAAGTAGCTGTGATTACAGACGTACACCACCACACCCGGCTAATTTTTGTATTTTTAGTAGAGACGAGGTTTCACCGTGTTGGTTAGGCTGGTCTTGAACTCAGGTCATCTGCCGGCCTTGGCCTCCCAAAGTGCTGGGATTACAGGCGTGAGCGACAGCATCCAGCCCACTTACATTCTTTCTTGTAGTAATTGGTGCACTGAAAAATTTTATTCATTTGCTTATTTACTTATCTATAATAACTTATGTAAACAAAATAAATAAGTAAGATACATAAGTGGCCGGGTGCGGTGGCTCACGCCTGTAATCCCAGCACTTTGGGAGGCTGAGGTGGACAGATCACGAGGTCAGGAGATCGAGACCATCCTGGCTAACACTGTGAAACCTCGTCTCTACTAAAAATAGAAAAACAAAATTAGCCCGGCGTGGTGGCAGTTGCCTGTAGTCCCAGCTACTCGGGAGGCTGAGGTGAGAGAATGGCCTGAACCCGGGAGGCAAAGCTTGCAGTGAGCCGAGATGGGGCCACTTCATTCCAGCCTGGGCAACAGAGGGATACTCTGTCTCAAAAAAAAACAAAAACAAAAACAAAAAACCAAGACAGTAAAAAGATACGTAAGTATCTTATATAAGTAAGATAAGTAAATAAGTAAATTTACTTATCAGAATTTCTTGGGAACAATTTGTAGCCCTGAAATTACTTAATGAAAGAGATTTTTTTTTTTAATCCCAAGACTTTTGATACACACTGTCACATTCTCCTTCAAAAACACTATACCAATGTATGGCACAAGTTTCTTTATAAAAAGTTATTAAACATAAAAATAATGTTGAAATAGTGACTTCTACTGAAAGAAATGTAATGGTGAAATTGCGGGAGGTGCCAAGTAATACAGGCACTAAGAGATGACTCATTCATTCATTCATTCATTCATTCATTCATTCATTTGCTAAGAGGAAGTAATTTACGATTTTCTTAGGAGTTTATTTACTAGAGCATTGGTGGGTGAAATTCAGATTCCACTGGGCAAACGAGGACATGAAAAATGTGGGAAGGGATTCCTTTCTGAAGAAGTTTGCCTGTGAAGGAAAGAGGAGTAAATAGTGCAGTTGCCGGAGCAAGTTGGGCTGAGGGAGACGTGCTGACAGAGAGATTGATCTGTGCACGTGAAGGAGCTGGTGGAGGAGGCAGAAGCACGAAGAGAAGACTACACATTTCATTCAGAGAAACAAAATCAAATTTTATTTTCCTTGAGGAAGATGGAAGGACCAAATTATTATGCTTCTTTTGGAATTTTGCCCTAAAGACCAAAATTCAGAACATTCTGCTGACAGAAGTCACAGATGTGGGCCAATTGTAGGTATCAGATCAGAGAGGAGAATCACTTTTTCCCTGTAGACTGCCCCACGCACCGGCACCATACCAGCCCTGGAGGTGTGTGGTGAGCCGTGGTCCCTTTCCTCATGGCATGGTTCATGGTGGGGAAGACAGGTGTGTTCCCATCTCCACGCCATTTGATGAGAATGATGCATATATACATGGTAGAGGGCGTAAATAAACTTCCTAGAGGGGATCTGGAAAGCCTGTTGCTGAGAGAGAACACAGGAGCTGTGTCAGGGGATATCGAGGCAGGTGCTCCTGGGCATGATGCCTTTCTTGTTCGAGGGAAGAAGGCTGCAGCGTGCAGAGATGTAGATGGGTACAGGACATTCCAGGAAATGTAACTTGTTTGTTGTCTTTAACTGGCAGCCAAAGGATTGTAAAGCCCGAGAGAGTTCAGGCCCACATAGGAGAGGGGTTGGAGCCTGAGCCTTGTCTCACTGCCCAGCTGTGCCCTTGTGGTTATAACTGGGCATGTGCATAATGACTATATGCGTCCTTCTGAGATGTAGCCACATGGTCTTCATTATATTCTCAAAGGGGCTGTAGATCCCTTAAAATTCAAGACTCGCTGCTGAGGGCAAGGGGCACATTTGGCAGGGTTTGAACCAGAAAAGCTGAATCATTGCCCTTCCATGAACAAGCTTGGGGCTTGTAATAGTTTCCCCTTGTTTCTCAGGACAGCTTGCTTCCTTAATGAGCCAGCTTGATAAGGTCGGGCCACAGAGGGCGATGCCTGCGAGGCACTTACGTGAGCAGAGCAGGCTGGTCGAAGGGGCAAGGATGCAGAAGAGGAGGTCATGCCGGGCTCTGCCACTGCAGGAAGACCACGAGCTCTTTGAGATGGAGGCCTGCACTGGCCCCTACCCCTCCTTCCCCCTGCACAAATGTGATTATGCCTCTGCAGAGCGACTGGAATCAGGTTAGCGTCATTGAGCAATGCTGAGCCGGGGTAATCAGAGCCTGGAGCGGAGCAGGTGCTGGCTTTAAAGTGGCTTCTGAGAATTAGGACAGGCTGACTTGTAGCTCAGCCCCACGTAGACAAGCCACTTAGAACACTGTCCTTGCAGCCCCCAGGCCTCCTCCTTACCATAGCAAAGTGCTTGGGTTTGTTGGAGGGGCCTCTGGCATGGCCCAGGGTGCTGAGCTCGTTAACTGTTGTTCAGGTGTCCCAGAGGTCCTGTTTGCCCAGCATGTGGCAGGGCAACAAGAGCTAACCAAGCCTGGGGTCACATTTGGTCTGCTCCTGCCTATCTGGGTGTCCTGGGACAATTACCCACCTCTTGGAGCCTCACATAAGTCAACTGTAAAATGGGAATCATGAACATATCTAACTCATAAGGTGGTGGCAATTAAATATCATATAGGAAAGGCTCTCAGCATCAGGCTTGCTGCAGAGTTAGCCACGAAGAACATCGCCCCTAGTCTCAACCTAGGCCACTGCCAGGACAAGGCAGAGTTTTATTGTTTCTACAAAGATGTTTCATACTCAGACCCCAAAAAAATCAGTAATTACAGAAGAATCTAAGAATAAAGGTTTATTTTAACCAAAATCTTAAGGGAGATGAAGTATTACTGTTTGGTGAACATCATTCTAGATGCTCTTCTATGCACACATTAATAGAAAATAATTCTAATAAGGGCACACTTAACATATTAATTTTAATAATAGAAGTTATTGGCTGGACATGGTGGCTTATGCCTGTTATCCCAACACTTTGGGAGGCCGAGGTGGGTGGATCACCTGAGGTCAGAAGTTAGAGACCAGCCTGGCCAACATGGTGAAACCCTGTCTCTACTAAAAATACAAAAAATTAGCTGGGTGTGGTGCCTATAATCCCAGCTACTCAGGAGACTGAGGCAGGAGAATCACTTAAACCCAGGAGGTAGAGGTTGCAGTGAGCTGAGATCAGACTCCATCTCAAAAAAAAAAAAAAAAAAAAAAAAAAGCTATTGCCTTTAGTTTAGTGTTTAACTGAAGAAAGTCAGGTGAAACAGAATGAATTGCTAAACTAGAGATATGTCATTTCTAAGATATGACTCTGGGAGTTGAGAAAATAAGTTTCAAGCAATATTAATATTGTTAAGTCATTCTTTGTTTTTTCGCTATTCTCTTAAGGACAAAGATAAGGCATTCTAAGACTCTCATGCTCTACCAACTGAGTAGCCAGGTGTCTTAGACAAAGTGCTTTAACATTCAATTATATGTCAAGATGAAATTGCAAATAGCAGAGAAAAACAACACACTGACTTCAGTTCCCACTAAATGACTCATCTTGCCAAAATGAAACGAATGTGGAGAATTCTTGATGCTTAACATGAGGAGGGGACATCCAGAGGTTAAGAAAGGAGGCTGACAGCACCAGGAGAAACATTAAGGTATGCAAGATGTTAGCTCGTTGGCACCTGATGGACCGGGCAGGTCTGTAAGTGCAATATGTTGCATTGTAAGTAAGAAAAATAAAGCCCAGCCAAGTGCCAATGTGACACGGAGTGGGGCCTCCAATCCAGGGCTCTGTGCCCCACATGCGTAGTTTAACTATCTGTATTCACTGTGCCTTTTTCCTATCTGTGCTTCTGATGCTGTGACACCTTTGGGTCTTGCTGACCCTGGAGGGTCTGCGCTTCTCAGGGAGATGGGGTTCCTAGAGCTCTTAAAAGACTCACTTGCAAGTTCACCTTTCAAATGCAAAATCATCAGTACAGAGCCCCTACCCCACCACCTCCCCTGTGGGGCTCTCACACTCTGGGCCACTATCCTCCTGCCCTGAACACTTAAGGCCTAGGTACCAGACAGCTAGGGACAGCCCCTGCTCCAAATGTGACCTGGAACAGACCAAATGCGACCCCAGAGCCCACTGAAATTATTCAAACCAACTGATCCTAATCCTGCTCACCCTTGCCCTGCCTGGTTCTTCCTGTGGAAACCACAACACAGGCTCTTGCTGCTGTTTTTTCTCCATCCCTCTGCTGCCCAACCGACCCTGATGCTTCCCCATATCCCTCCCCCCTTGGGGACTGTGAGGAACAAGCTGTTTGTAATGGCAGTCATCTCCTGACTTGTTGGACTCACCATCCCGAACAAGAAGAAAGCCTACATTTAAACAGACTGCCCCTGCTGTGCCCGAGGGTAGCCCCTTGGGGGACTGACTCCCTTGGGCATACATAGCTCAATGACACAGAGAGCCCTTCCAGAGTCCAGCCAGGACCTGTTTTGGGCCCACACCCCAGGATTTGGCATGGAAAACTTTGGTCCCTGAGCAGCCATCGCTCTGTCTAAGTACCTTGTCCAGACCAACCACCTGTGAGAGAAGCAGGGCAAGGCCATTGAGATGAACCTTCCACAGGCTGACTCCATGCTACCTGGGCATGAACACTTTGTCTCTCTAAGAGGAAAAGTTGATTTCCAGGTGAAAAGCAAGCAGTCATAGGTAAAATGGAACCAGAAAGGTGGCCAACTGGGGTTCTCACATACAAGTTTCTGACTTCTCTGTTTTTATCCTCAGGACACATGGCATTGCTAAGACTTTACAGGCGGCTCAATCAAGGTCACCCAAATTTAATTCTATTCCACACTTTTGTCGCATCTGCAGAGAAATTTCATTATCTAGACTACATGACATCCATAAATTAATTAGGCCCTTTGGTTTTGTAAACATAATGTGCGTTTTGATCCATCGGAGAGAGCTGTTTGAACTCAGCAATAGGTTTCAGCATCTATGCAATGTCCAGCAACGTGCAAATGCTCAGCCCAACACAAAACAATGAGACAGGGTCCCTGGTTTTGGGAGCACCATGGGTCTGGAGGGAGAGACAGACACGTGTGTGGGTACAACACAATCAGGCTGTGCCAGTGCGATCGTGGCACCACAAGGTCCTCAGAGGTCGAGAGAGGCCACAGTGACTCCTAGCCTGCATTTTCTGAGTTGTGTGACTGACAGCACTCAATGCTTTCTCAGAACATCCCTTTTAAAATTATTTTCAATGTCAGCAGTGTTTTCTCATGACCTCCTGAGGGTTCAATTAATCTTTGGGAACAGTATCATTCAGAAAGAGAAAGGCAGAGGATTAAAGCTGGTAAATGATACTCTTGCTCAAAATCCTAGTGTGACTCTTAACTGATGCCAAAGGCTGTTCTGAAAGAAGCATTCCACGAGCGCCTTGGGCAATCTGGGCCCTGCTGGAGGGAGCCTCATCTCTACTGCGCTTGCTCTGCTCTGTGCATTGCACATGTGTGTATGCACACGCACGCACAGACACACACACACACACACCCCAAACTAGGAAAAAACCCAGGCTTCTGTTCCATAGTAGTAACTATGTTCTTACTTTCTCTATATGTGTATATATATACACACACATATATAGAGAGAAAATAAAATAAATATGCTTGTGTATATTTTAATTATAATTTAATTAGATTATAATTAAATTAAAATGCATATATGGAATATAAGAACATAGTTACACTAATGTTACATAGAACATTAATTAAAATTTAACTAAAATATACACACATATATATATGTATATTTAATAAGGTAGAATATAGGTATCATTGTCCAGATGGTAGAATGCTTCATTTCTGCCCCAAGGCACCCTGGAAAATCTTTTGCAACTTCCCGGTTTCTAACCTCAGAGCTTAGTTTTCTGTCTGCAGATCTGTTTCTCTTAACCTGGTGTGATGCTTTCACCCAAAGATTCAATGTGTATCCATGGCCTTACGTTTCCATGTAGCAGCCATTCATTGGGATCTTGGCTCATGGCCTTGGGTTGGACCAGGGGGCAATGGCTGCTTGTGTGGAGGTTACAGCGGTGACTGGCACCTGGGGGATAAAAGGTTGTCTGCTTTTTACCCTCTAGGTGGTTGCCACCCTGGGGACCACAACGTGCTGCTCCTTTGACAATCTCTTAGAAGTCGGTCCTATCTGTAAGTATCTGATTCCATTTTCTTTTTGGAAAATGTTCTCTGTATACAGGGAATTTAGCAAACCTTCTTCGTTGATCTCTCTTTCTTGTCACTAACTTCATATTATGATGGTTTGCCCAGCTCTTCTCGTATTTGCAATGATAACACAAACCTCATTAGCTCGAACTCCACAAACTCAGAATTTGGGCGAATTGGAAAAAGCTGAGCTTAGGTCTACCAACACACTATTTGTAAGAAAAAATATTCCAAGCAATATAAAAGTTATGTAAAATTGCAGGCAATGTTGGCTCTGTTGAGGAGAATAAACTCTTCAAAATCTTAGAGTAACCACCCTCATATGTGGGTCATGCATACACCTTATTTGACGATCGTCCACGCTTGAATTTAATTATTTGGTATATCCCTTTTTCACCTTTTTTGGAATTACTAAATGCAGTTAAGAAAATTGCCAAAGATAGTTTAGCAAATCAACACAATGAAACTGGATTTTGCCAAGGAATAATCTGTGCTTCAGATATTTTCCTGGGTCACTCTCACCTCCTCCCTCCCTCATTCAGAGATCTTAGGTTTTCTCATTGAGACTAGGATGCTGTGTTTTCAAAAGGTGAACGTGAATGAGCAGCTCTGTTTCTAGAGTTTCACCTTTGACATGTAGCTCTGGGAACTCAGCAGGCCTTGAAGCTGCTTCTGTGGACAGAAGAACCCTCGTAGGGCAGGGACACTGACTCGGGGGCTCCGCCTTTATCTGTCCCTCTGGGATGGGAATGTTCTGACTGCTTGGCTGTGAGTGGAGCTGCCCAAGTGGGGCCTTCAGACCACATACTGGCCTGTGCCAGATCCCACGCCAGCTACCAGGGATTTGGCTTCATCCTTAGTCTGCATAAGCCAAGCACAGTTCTCACCTCTCCTAACCCAAGAGTCACCCATGGTCCATACTCAGAGGAGTGGACCCTCCTCTCCTGGGCATTGTCCTCCCCTCTTGGGGTCAGCAGCTGGGGAAGGCCGGTGCTCAAGGTGCAGGTGCCCTTGTGTGAGCTGGACATGGAACTGGTGACAAGGAAGCTAGGGTCCAGCCCAGGACCCACCCCTGAATCTTACATTCTGAGCTTCATTTATGCTCTCTGTAAAGTGAAGAGAAAAGCCCCACTTGGGCTCATAAAATAACAATATTTCCCCCCAGGATTACTCAGAGAATGAATTAATGCAGGGAAAATGTACCATCCCAAAGGTGGAGTGCATTGCTGCACAGCAAGGAAGGCAGTGCTGGGAACTACTGGGAGGTGGGTGGCATAGACTTACCCACTCTCACGGGGTTTTGCTCCACTGTGTATGCTGTGTGGCACACAACTGTAAGAACAACTGGCTGCAAGTGGTCGTGCACAGCCCTGGGCTGGGGAGAAGGGATAGAGCTGGCTGACTCAGGACTGCAGCCACAGCGCTGGCCTCATCAGCTACAAACCTTCATCAGCTCAGCCAAGCAACGTGGAGTCCTCTGACTCAGATGTCAGGCTAAGAACTGAATGTCCTGGCCAGTAGCCGGCTGATGTAATTCCCCAGGGCTATCGGATTTAAAGGGCTGAGGTCTTCTGCCGGACAGAGCCCACACGGCCTGCTGTCCCCTGGGCCCAATGCAGGCTGCCCGCTGGACCATGGAGATGACAGCCAGCGTGTGTCACCTGCCAGTCACAGTCCCCTGGATGGATCCAGCTCAGGCCTTCCTGCTGTCTCGGGGCCCCCTCTTCTTCTCAGAGGCTGAAAGCTGTGGACAGAGCTTGATTTATGATTTGTTTGGTTTGAAACACTGAGGTTGCTTTTGGGGTTGTGCAGAAGGAGCTGACATGAGTAAATGCCAAAACCCTTTCATTCATTGGCAGAATGCATAGGGGAGGTCAGTTTTGACAATTCCTTTTTTTCCTTTTTTCTTTTTCTTTTTTCTTTTTTGAGATGGAGTCTTCCTCTGTGGCCCAGGCTGGAGTGCAGTGGCGCAATCTCAACTCACTGCAACATCTGCCTCCTGGGTTCAAGTGATTCTCCTGCCACAGTTTTCCAGGTAGCTGGGATCACAGGGACACACTATCACGCCTGGCTAATTTTTATATTTTTATTAGAGATGGGGTTTCACCACATTGGCTAGGCTGGTCTCAAACTCCTGACCTCAGGTTATGTGCCTGCCTCAGCCTACCAGAGTGATGGAATTACAGGCATGAGCCACTGTGTCCAGCCAACAATTCCATTTTTATTGATGGTGGTGCATTACTAACTGTTGGTGGTACCTTAACAATTAAGTCGGCACCTTTTTACCTACTTTCCCTCTCCTGCTACCATTTTCCTATCACCAGATATTTAGCATTATCCAACTCCAAGCGGGACTGTTCCAAGAGCCTGAGCTGACCTTATTCTATAGTATGATTGGAATAATCTAACATAATTCAGATAAGTTATTCACCCACCATCATTTGACAAAGAAAACAAATCAGAAGATGGTTTTCTTCCAATTGCTGCCTTTGGAAAGACATTTTCTTTTTATTGCATTTGAAATGATTTGCCAGTAAGGGTGTTCAGATTGGTCTACTTGGATGGATCAGTTGTCTGGCAGGTTTTACTGAGAAGAAGATGAGATACAAAAAGTGGATAGTTGAAGTCAGTTAGGTTGCTGGTGGGGAAGTGGGGAAACTGAGGATGAGGGTATGGGCTGAGTTGGGGAGGCCATCTCAAGGAGTGAGGAAGGGAATAGCACAGGGCAGGCAGCCAAAGCTGCATCCTGAGGTGCCAGCATAACTGGAGGAGGATGTGCAGCTGGAGGGGCAGCCAGGTCTGCCTCAAGTTCCCAGGAAGTCTCACAAGGAAAGAGTCACTGGAAGCAGGAAGCTGGAGGGGTGTGAGACTGTCCCTTCCCTCCCCACTGAGGCAGCCTTACCTCGGGGCTAGGTGTGCCTCTGGTGCATGCAACTGCTCAAGCTCTGGCCGAGGTCTCTGTGTCTGCCTGGTTCCTAGATGGGCCGTGCTATGCAGTGTGTGCTGTTAGCGGATCACATATGAGACGCAGAATGCAGAGGCATGCCCACAGCTCCATGCATCCCTATGGAAACCAGAGAAGCCCTCCAGAGTCCACTTCCCTTGGGGGTCTGTAAGTTCCCTTCTGCAGGAGTTATAGGCCAACTGCAAGCTTAAAGGGAACACAGTCCTCCACAAAGTCACTGCTGATGAAAGACGTAAGGCATTTCAAAGCTTTGACTCAGTCTGCCCATCAGGATGAAAGCCCTTGGTTGGATCAAGGTCAAGTGTGTCCTGCGAACATGGATATCCACCCCAGGGCATGGGAGGCCAAAGGTCATAGAGCAGGGTAGACCTGAACCGAGGCTTAGGGGCTCATCACCTCCCCCAGAATCAGTCTCACCTGGTGCTTGCATAACCCCAGATGGATGCAGCAGTGAGCCAGGAAGAGCACAAGGCCTTAGGATTTACAGAGTTTCTCCTTGAGGAGTCACTCAGTAATCATGGGATATCCATCCCTGTAGCTCAGATCACTGGTAAGGTTGAGAAGAACCTCAGATCCCATCATAAGATAGGTATAAATTTGAAGTTTGCTGTAGTCTGAATGTTTGTGTCTACCCCAAAGTCCATTTGTTGAAATCCTGATCTAAGGTGATGGTACTGGAGGTGGGGCCTTCCAGTGGCCATGAGGTCACCACGGTGGAGCCCTCCTGATTGGGACTGTGACTAATTAGTGCCCCTGAGAGTCTCACGCCTCACTGCACAATGAGCACGGTGGATGGTGAGTGAACAATGAATCCATGGATCCCTACCTGTCAGGGTCAGGTGCTGACCCTGACACCTACCCCACGGTGCCCTGACACTGGTATCCACCCTGTGAGGCTAGGGTGGCTGGCGCCCTCTCTGTAGACTTTCACCCTTCAACTCTTACTCTCCTGGGTGCCTACGGCTGAGAGGCAGCAACCATGGAAGTCACATTTATTTCTCCCCTGTTCAGTGCTGGGGTCCTGGCAGTCACATTGTAAATATTCCCTCATACTGTTTCATCTCCATCTTCCTGGGAGGAGAGTGAGGCTTGGAGAAGTAGATAGGGCCCCTTGGCTGGGGAACCGCTGGAAGCGGGAGTTGAGCCCAGATCTGTCAAAACTGAGGGAGCATGCTATACCTGTGGCTCTCCCAGCTCCCGAATGAGGCAGCCCCTGCCCACAAGGACAAGGCTGCTATGTATGGTTGGAAAACAGAAACCCTGTTCATGAAGGGAGCAGGGGATGGTCTAAGATGGTGTAAAATAAAGAACTTCACCTGGTGGTGGGGATGGAGTGGGGCAGGTAGAGGTCAGCGTGGACTGTGTGCAGGACCCCCTCGGGTGACGTTTGGGGGAGGACTTGAGAATGGATTAGCAAAGGGAACCGGGGAGGGAATTCCAGGTGGGTGGAAAGGGTGGTATTGCTGGAGAGAAATGCAGGTGAGTAACATGAGGCTGTCACACGATGGTCCCTCGGAGTTACACTTAGCCACCAGGGTCAGGAGAGAAAACCAAGGGGTGCAGCTGCTTCCATTTTCCCTGGTGTGTGTCTGGGACCAGGAGCACACACACTGCCCTCAGCTTTCGAGCCTTCAAATGAGGGGGCCTTTTGGGAATTCAGCCATTAGTTCAGCAAATATCGTTGGCATGCTCCACGCAAGAAGGGTGCTCAGACAGGGCGAGGTCAGCTGGCAGGCTCCATGGTGAGGCATCTGTCTGGGGACTCACGAGTTGCTTCTGGACTTTAGGCAACAAGGAAGACATGTGGCTGCACGTCGATGCGGCCTACGCAGGCAGTGCATTTATCTGCCCTGAGTTCCGGCACCTTCTGAATGGAGTGGAGGTAGGTGCACCCTTCGCTCTCCCCAAGGCTGTTTTCACAGCGCTCTGTTATTGACCTCTCCCTTCATAAAGAGCTGACATCCAATTTCTCGCTATGGTGGTTTGTTTTAGCCAGTTATGTTTGAACCAATTCCCACTTCCTCAGAACAGGGGCTGAGAGCCTTCCCCAGTCATACAGCCTGTCCTCCTGAAATACTCCTGACACTTACAGTTCCATTTCAATCTACACAAATCCCAAACAGAAAGGATAGATGTTAGCTTATAAAACTGTGGGAAAGTAGGAATAAAATAAAAACTTAATGCACTTAAACTCAAAAGAGTAATTTAAAATACCAACCCGCAATTCCATACAATCTGGTTCAATATGACAGTCATGTTCTGCCCACACATCTGAACATGGTATTCACTTTAACCAGTATTGAACGGGAAGCTACCAATGCATTTAAATGCCCCTAGGCAGTCTTCTGGAAATTGTAAAGCATGGTCTTTAATGCTAAGTGAAACGCCTGCTTCTTTCAAGAAGTAGCAGTCAAAATTATTGACCAATACTCTGCTTCTCCAAAAAGCAACAGAATGTAAATTGGTACAGACTTAACACAAAGAAATGACCTTATTGATATACTGTGGTGTGTTATTTCAGACTCAGTGGGATTTCATTGTTGGTGGTGGCTCATAGGGTAGGAAGTCTCTCCTCCCCAAGAACTCAGCTTTGAATGCCATAGAGGGTCCTCAGAGGCAGTCTTTGGCAGTGTGTCCATGAGAAGGAGGTAGCAAAGCAGGGGAGCTGTGGCCCTGGCCAAGAAAGAAATGCTTTCTGCCAAGGGGCAGGAGGTGTCGTGAGACCTCACCCATGTGTGACGAAGGATGAAGGGCACAGTTCTCTGCATTAGACTCCTTTGTTTGAATCCTAGATTTATCCTTAGGACTAGCTGTGTACCCTTGGGTGAGTTGGATATCCTCCCTATGCCCATAAAATAGATATCATAAGAATACATCCCGTGTGGGATTGTCGTCAGGGGTAGATGAGTTAATCATGTTTTAAGGGCTTAAAAACAGTGCCTGGTAGACAGTAAATACTGAACTTGCATTAGGTGCTTTTGTTATTTTCTACCATATGTTAGAAAAACTTTCCCTTGACACCTTCCTCTGCTTGCATGTCAGACTTGCTAATCAATATTCTAATTACAACTTTGATTTCTCATAATGCTGTAATACCAGAAAAATGGGTACCAGAGGTATAGAATACAAATGGCCCCATCTTTGGAAAGAATAATCCTCTTACTACTAATGAATGAAGTAGTATTCTGGTTTATGTCTCCATCACATTCATTCACTCATTCATTCAATAATTACTTGTTGAGTACTTAATACAACCTAGGACTTAGATGATGGATCCTTGTGGGTAAATGGAGCTTCCAAAGACCTATGTAAGTATTGGGGAGAGGGTATAGTATATGAGAAGTTCTTATAATGTGATGCCAGTACCCAGCTGATATAGTTCATTGCTGGTAGCTAGTTTGGTGGGTGTTTGGTGCTGGGAAGTGAAGAATAAATCTCTGTATCATATAAATGCATGGTATTAGGGAGATAATCTCCATTATTTGAAATATCTTTCCTGGGACAGTTTCAAGGGAGGAAGGGCTAAGCGATCCTCTGGGATTTATGTGCCCTCCCCAAGGCTGGCCTGAGCTCGATGCTCTTTTCTAACTCTGGGTATCGGGTTTAGGGCTCATGATCTTTTCCTACCACTGCTCTTCTCTTCCCCATGAACTGACAACTTCAGGTTTCATCTTTCATAGAAGGGTGCCTCATTGTCAGAGCACCGCAGCAGTGGGCATTCCGGCCAGACCCTATCAGCAGCAGACAGGATTTCATGCTCTACAATGAGTCATTACCATTTTCCCCGCATTATTGCTCCTTTCCGTGCCCAGCTGAGGGCTGCGCGTCTCAGTGGGGCAGATAAGGAGGCTGCAATATCCTGTTGTGGCCCTGCCCTTGGAGATAAGAGCCTTTCTCTCCATCGGCAGAAGGAAAATATCACTGCTGGGTAATGAGAGAAGTTTAAACAGATCAGCCCCATAGGAGGGAACTCATAAAACTCCTAGCAAACAGAGCCCCTCTTTAACCTTTTGTCTCCGTTTATCAACAAATGAAACTTGCTGTAATTTCCTGTCCCTTTCTCAAAATTACTTCTATTGAAACCTAGAAGGAAATGAACCTGGGTCTCCAGAGCGGGTTGATGTGGAAGGTCGTCATCCACCCACCAAATGTCTCCCAGGACGCCCCACCCCGGCCCCTCAAGCCTCTGCTGCTTCCTTGGTGCACATCCCTGGAACCAAGTAGACACGAGGTGCCCTAGGGCCTTGGGAAGACTGAAAAGTTTCCCAGTAGGAGAGTCGGCCAGACTGGGGCCTCACTGCAGCAGCCACCTTTATTTCGGTATCAATTATGAATCTAGCCCCACGGCCAAATCCCTGGCCATTAAGGTGGACCCTGTTCCCATTCACCAGTCAGATGATAAACCAGGACGTGCATTTGAAAAACCAGGACGTGCATTTGAAAAAGAAAGCACCATTTATGACAGCTCAGTGAAAATACAGAGTGTCCTCCTCTACCACTCTTGGTAGTTGATATCTCTTATTTTCTCCTTGAAAATAGGGTAGCCCCTAACACTGATGCATGCAGCCGGAGCCGGTTGTTCACATTTGTTATCCAGGATCTTCCAGCCAGGGAGTCTGTAGCTGTTAGGAATACAATGAACTTGAGTATTGTCTTTAAAAATAAAGGAGCTGGTCGGGTGCAGTGGCTCACACCTGTAATCCCAGTACTTTGGGAGGCTGAGGCAAGAGGATGGCTTAAGCCCAGGAGTTTGAGATCAGCCTGGGCAACATATTGAGACACCCTGTCTCTACAAACAAAATTTTAAAGATTAGCTGTGTGTGGTGGCACATGCCTGTAGTTCCAGCTACTTAGGAAGCTAAAGCAGGAGGATCGCTTGGGCTTGGGAGGTTGAGGCTGCAGTGAGCCATGTTCATGCCACTGCATTCCAGCCTGGGCAACAAAGTAAGACCCTGTCACTCAAAAAAAAAAAAAGAGAGAGAGAGAGAGAGAGAGAGAAACATTTAGGTAAATGGGGAGAATTGTTGATATGTTACAGCAATGCTGGCAAAAGAACCCATCAATTAAATGAAAACTGGGTTTATCCCTACCTACTATAGAGTAGTTATAAAATTTCCTCTTTCCCACTGTTTATCATGACACCTGTAGTCTGAGAACTTTGCTAGCTCAGCACGTGGAAGGAACATCAAGCATAAAGTATTTCACAGGCCAAATCAGTACAATTCCTGTACATTGTACTTGTGAAGGACAATTCCGATTTTTCCAAATATTCCAGTAATTTAAAATATAACATGGATACATTTTATGTCACATTAGATTATGTAAATTTGAAAGTGCTTTTCATTTGGGAATATAAACTTTTAATTTTAAAATTCTTGTTCCATTTTATGGGGGTACAATCTAGATATAGCAAAACATACAAATCAACTCTAAATACATATACCCCCATGTACTTACCACTCAGATCAAGTAGAACAATTCCAGCACTTCAGAAGACTCCCCTGCCCACTGCAAGTTACTACTCCCCTGGGAAACCTTACCTGGCCTCTATCACTATGAATTAGTTGTGCCATAAACTTATATTATCATGTATGGGGTCTTCTTTGTAATTAAACATGTATAAGGAAAATGTTTTCTTTTTCTTATTCTTGTTCTTTGGCAGTTTGCAGATTCATTCAACTTTAATCCCCACAAATGGCTATTGGTGAATTTTGACTGCTCTGCCATGTGGTAAGTTTCCCTGCTCACAGATGTCAGTTGCCTGTCCCCACTGCTCTTCCGAGGTGACGGTGCCTTTGAAAGAAGCTGGCAGGGAAGATGCCAGAGCCAAAGGGGTGCAATAGTCACTTAGCTCACTGCTTGCTGCCATTTCTGAACCGTTGATGGAATGACTGCTAATTCTTAACCTTGCAGGAAACTTTTATCTAGGGAATATCATTGCAACATACTGGCATAAGAAATGAGAAGCCTAAAAAAGACAATCTGTAATTTGATTTATCCAGCATTAACAGAAAACAAATGCAAGTACACACTTCTAATTCAGTAGCTTCTGTGTTTTCATTCTTAGATTTGTAACCAGTCTTAGCCTAATGCTAAGTTCAAGCAATCTGAGTTCAAATGCTTAAAAGTATTTGCCAAGGCCGGGTGTGGTGGGTCATGCCTGTAATCCCAGCACTTTGGGAGGCCGAGGCGAGTGGATCACCTGAGGTCAGGAGTTCGAGACCAGCCGGGCCAACATGGTGAAACCCCGTGTCTACTAAAAATACAAAAAATTAGCTGGGCGTGGTAGTGCACGCCTGTAATCCCAGCTACTCAGGAGGCTGAGGCAGGAGAATCGCTTGAACCTGGGAGGCAGAGGTTGCAGTGAGCCGAGATCATGCCACTGCACTCCAGCCTTGGTGACAGAACAAGACTCTGTCTTAAAAAAAAAAAAAAGGATTTGTGAAGGAAAGATAATAGTAACCATGTTTCCTAAGAATTTCCCTGGAAATTCTTAAAAACAGCACGATAATACCTTGGTGATATTTAGAATAAGAAAAAGAACTAAAGCATTAAAGTGGGTGATATTACACCACCTACACAATGTTTAAAGAATAATGATGATAGGCAGTGGTACAGGGACACTAGAAACTGGTTTCTGTAACTTTTTAATGTAAGAAGTTGATTGATTGATCATAGGGCCAGGAGGATTTGCATGAATTTTGTACAGTATGCAAAATTTTCCAAATTTTCAAAAGGCTTTGTAAAATTGTTCAGTATGTAATTAAGTAAATAACTTTTCACTTTCCTCCTAAGCATGAGGAAAGCAGCTTTTATACAAAACAACTAATGTCAGCTCTCGAGGTCACCAAAATATCCCTTTGCCCTTTCTCTTTTCTTTCTTCCTTTTTTTTTTTTTAAAGGCAAACCACATTTCTAGTCCTTTACTTGTATACAAATCAATTTTTTTGGGTCAGTCTTTTCACCCAAACTTCTGCTATATAATTTTAAGACCAGTTGGTGTGTGGGCATTTCAGACTTAATTTTGTCTGAAATAAGTATTTATGAAAGCCATGGTTGTTATGAATGTGAGTATTCTTTTGTATTCTTGTGGTTGTGTTTTTCTCTTTCACCCAAGGTGGAACACAGTGAGGACAGTTTGCACCGTGTGCCAGAGGTCTCTTTATTCGAGGGGTAATTTTGATTGACATGTAAATCCGCTCTGCTGAGGTTTTTGGTCAGTGGGGAAAATTCTCTAAGGGAGCTGGAGTTGGGAGGCACCAGGCAGAGCATCTGCAGGCTCTGGCGGGAACAAGTGGCTCTCCCCGGATGCTTTTGTTTTGCAAGGGGCAGGCATCCTCAGATGCCTTCCACAAAGGAAGCCCTAGAACTACCCTGGAGCAGGGCGAGGGCTGATGGGGCTGTCCGGAAGAGAGGTTCTCATGCACCCTGAGGCTGTCCCCAATGCCTGGATAAAACAGTAATATCAACAAGGCTGTTAGTGACTGCAGATAGGTAAGTCCAGGCTACCTTCTAAGTCCCTAACCTCTTGTAGCTCTCTGGACCCCCACGACAGCCCTGCGATGGGGGACACAGATATTGCCACGCTCTCATTACAGATGAGGAAACTGAAGTGGTCAGGGACCAGAAATATTTTGGGTCCCTAATCTTGGAGGCAAATATTGACACACGATAAGAAGGAGTGTAATGAATGCAGCATCCTGCCCTCAGGTGCAGACAACTAGTGCCTATATTAAAGCTGAGAGAAAACCTGCTTTGTCAGTGTGGGGGTGAGAAGGAGTCGAGCCTTTGCGGATGTGGAGTGCCTGCTGCAGAGCTGATGCCCCAAGGCTGCCGCAGACGTTACAGAACTGATGCAAGTGAGCTGGCGGCTGTGTGCTCATCTGTCCCAGACAGCTCCTCCCCGGCACTCGGGGTTCAGTTCAGCCACCAGCCTGTGAGGGGGAAATTTGACAAAGTGGAGGTGATGTAGGAAGGAGACACAGGACACACAGGAATGAGGCCAGGCCATTTGGAAAAGGGAGAGAGGACAGAGGGTGATTAGCCTGGAGAAGGAATTACACGTAAGCCCTAGGACACAAGAGAGGCCTGTGGTGTCTGGAAGTGTGCCACGAGAGAAAGGCGATGGAGTTAGTTCCCATCCTCTGGGGTGGGCGGCAGTGGTGGGGCGGGGTGGTTGCAATACTTGAGGAGCCTCTTCCCTTCCTATGGGCTTGAAAGGCTACAAAATGTGTTTTTAAATTACAATAGCGACTGTGGTGTTTCTCTCCTGAGCCGGTGCGATCTCGACAGAACAGGGGTCAAATCATTTGGTGAGGTGTCGTGTACCTGGAAAAATCAGATCTCTCCTAAACCCAAGGTTTTGTCCCATGACACTATAAAAATGGCATGAATGTTGATGGATGAAGTCTGATTTTTGAAGGATTTGTGTTTGAACACAGAAATTGCTGATCCTTACTGTTTGGGGGCACTGTGCCTGCATTAGTTGGCTAGGGCTGGCTTAACAAAGTACCATGGACAAGTAACTTAAACGAGAGATGATTTCTTTCAGTCCCAGAGGCCAGAGGTCCGAGATAAAGCCATCAGCAGGCTGGTTTCTTCTGAGGCCTCTCTCCTGGGCTTGCAGATGGCTGTGTTCTCCCTGTCCTCACATGGTCTTCCTTCTGTTTATCTGTGTCAGAATTTCCTCTTCTTATAAGGACACCAGTCACATTGGATTAGGGCCTGTTAACCAAGAAATATCTGAGACAGGTCTCAATCAATTTGGATATTTATTTTGCTAAGGTTAGGGACATTCCTGGAAGAATAAACATGAAATCACAGAAACAGGGTGTGGTCTGTGTCTTTCTCCAAAGATGATTTTGAGGCCATCAGTATTTAAAGGGGAAGGCAGGCTGGAGGGGAAAGAGGGAGGGTAAGGTCACATTACTGAATCCACGTGTTTTGAGAGGAAAGGAGCAGGTAGGGGAATAGTCAATGATGTATTTGTCTTCACGCTCAGTAAATCAGCTCTTTTTATAAGATAAGGTGAGCATAGAGTAGCTACCCATAGAGATATTTAACCTTTTATCTGTAGCTTTCTCCTTAGGCACAAAAGGAAAGGTATCTTCTTGCATGAAAGCATCCAGCTTATTTTTTTTTCCTTTGGCATAGAAAATTGAGGCACCGAGTTTTTATTTTCCATTCACATTTCTCCCCCTCCCCTTTTTAAAAAAGTCTTGCAGAAAATGCATTTTAGAAGAAAATGCTTCTCTAGCCTTGGGTTTTATCTGGCCTCTTGTGATTAAGACAGTTTATTTCTAGAGAGATAAGTCCCACGTTGTTAGGAAAGCTCATTTTTCGCTGGTTGTAGTCTCACGACCCATGAAGAAATAAAATAGGTGGAGGAAGAGAGAGAGAAAAAACCCAAACAAACGTAAAGGGAGCACAGTCCTGGAAAACTGATATAAGCCGTATTACTCTGAAGTCCCTATGTCAGTAGGCAGGTATGAAAGTGGTTTACGTATATAAATAAGTTCTTGTTATTTTCTTCCAAAGTTGATGTTGTCTAGCTTCAGTTTACAGGGCTTTAAGAAAAGCATAGCTTAATATTTAGTGATTTCAAATCATGATTAAGAAGGAAAAGAAAAAAGGAAAAAAAAAACCTGACAACATTATTTTGGAGAATTGTAGCCAGGAAAAATTTTAGAATTCAGTCCAAATTGTAGAAAATAATAAAAACGGACAAACATTAGGCAAGGCTAGAATCTAATTACAGATATACTATAGTTTATTTTGAAACATAATTTTTCTCTTTCCAGTTCCCCAATTTTATTAAATACAAAATTATAACGGGCTAATTTATTTGTAAAATAAGTTTTAGTTCTATTATGATTGGCTTGATTATTCAGATAAAGTGCAGCAAGAATAATCATTTGCTATATAGGTTTGCTCTCTCACTCTTTTTGTTTGTTTGTTTTTTTAAATTGGTTTTGTTGGAACTTTTTCATAAATAATCTAATATTTAGACCTTTTGTTGTTGTTGTTGTTGTTGTTGTTGTTGTTGTTGAGACAGAATCTCCCTCTGTTGTCCAGGCTGAAGTGCAGTGGCATGATCTTGGCTCAGTGGCATGATCTCAGCTCACTGCAACCTCCACCTCCCGGGTTCAAGCAATTCTCCTGCCTCAGCCTCCCGAGCAGCTGGAACTACAGGTGCCCACCACCATGCCTGGCTAATTTTTTGTATTTTTAGTAGAGATAGGATTTCACCATGTTAGCCAGAATGGTCTTGATCTCCTGACCTCATGATCCACCCACCTCATGATACACCCACCTCAGCCTCCCAAAGTGCTGAGATTACAGGCATGAGCCACCATGCCCAGCTGATTTAGACCTTTTTATAAGCCTCAGTCCCAGCCAAGGATTTTTCTTTGCCTATAGATACCTGTGTGAACTGGTTGAATTCTGAATTCTTCTCCTTTCAAGGTCCCAGGAAAACTTAAGGTTCCTAGCCCTGTTAGAAAGTGACATTTTTTACTTACCACAGGTCAGGACCCTGTAAAGGACAAGGTATGGGGCCAGTTTTTCTAAGGGGCTTTTATTAGCTTTGTAGGTCACCCTTATTTTCTCAAGGCAATCTGAAAATGTCATTCCAATCAAAGCCTTGGTAAAATAACCAGTGACAGAACAGGACCACACACAGGTCATTATAAAATAAGTCATTCGTTTAGCCAAAGTGATAAAGATTTCAC